GTTTGACATCACAGATAACAATCGTGGGCGAATTTGTTCACACAGTGAAGAAAGAGAGTTGGCATGTTTGTGTGAACAAATTCATCACAGATAACGTTATTCTTAATTAAATGAAACAGGATTTGAGGTGATTGATAGAGGATGTTGTGGCGTGGGGAAGAACAATGGTCAAATAACATGTCTTCCTCTTCAACAGCCGTGTGATGATCGCTCAAAGTACATCTTCTGGGACGCTTTTCATCCCACTGAAGTTGCAAACATTGTTCTGGCCAAGAAGGCATACTTTTCAACTTCTAAAGTCTTTGCGTATCCCATCAACATTCAACAATTAGCAATAATTTAATGAGTGACGCATTTCTTCCAAGGAGGGACAATTGCCCAATTCCCCTTGTATGTTTTTACTATCATATAGTTTTATGTACTACCTTCGTCTCCGAATAAATTTTCATCTTTTAGGTTCCCGCTTCTATTGCAAATCTTTGGTCATTGATATCCATACTCATAAATTAATATTATAAACATATGATATTTGAAAGCAATATATCAAAATGATTGTAAGGATATTACATTCACATTAAATTCCATTGTATTTTTACTGCACATCATGGTTAAAGTTTATAAACCTTGACCACAGAAACCACAATGAGAACTTTATATTACCATGGAGAGAGTATGCTCTACATTCTTATTTGAGTTATTTGTATGTCTTAATGCCACACAATCTAAAATGCCTAGCTTAGCAGCTTAGGCTTTAGAAAGGGGGACAAATGTCTGGTACCCATTCTTTAATATCAGGCCAACGCTAAGGCTAAAATATACTCCGGTGATCTGGTCTATATAATCCTTTCCATGATAGTCACACAAATACAATCTTTGGGAGCGCATGAGTCTCTATTTCCACAACCAATCCTAAACGGCAGAAGAAGTCGCTATAATAGGGAGCATGACAAAAGAGCAAATTTAGCAGTGAAGTTGTGTTGGAATACTCAGATCTCAGCATTTATCGCAAAACGATACCCACGAGGACTTAACTACTTCAGAGTAAGGATTGGTGAAAATGTCAAAGAAATAAGTGAAATTTGCACTGAATAGGACTAAAACATAAGTCATTTCTCAATGTAGGACTTGGGCTTTTTTATTCTCTAAATAGGACTTAATAATGACTAGTGAGAAGAATAATGTCTAAGTGATGCTGGACATTTAGTTGAATAATGACTAATAGATAATGACCAATGGTCCTATATTGGGAAATGAAAACATATGGTCCTATATTGAGAAAGTCATTATGTTTTAGTCTTATTTAGGTAAATTACCCAAGAAATAAACCAACTTTTACTCATTTGGAAACAACTCGCAAGGGAGTTTGGTTCTCCACAGATAAGGCAAATAAATACTTTCAGTAAAATAATTGAAAGAGGAAGTGCTATCTAACTACAAGTATGGGCAATCACCTGACCACATTTCACAGAAGAAATGCAGCCAACTCTTCAGCAACCTACACATGCATCAGAATTCAAAATGATCATAAAGAAAAGAGAATGACTGGTATAGCATAAAATTGTTTTTACAACAAAAACACCAAAAAAAACAGTTTACCAAAGTTTGTTCTTTGCATGACAATAATAGTCAATATGGAGAGTAAAAATAGTCATCATTTATGTGTGTTCATAAGCCATAACATAACCTTATAAACAATTATCATTTATGTGTCATAAGATAACATGTAAAATTGCTACTAAAAGCAGGAGGAAACTAAAAATATGCCTAAAGAAGGAACACAAGAACTTTATTAAGGAGGGAAAGAGTGCATGACAATCTTTCACTCTCTCCTTGAAAGTACAAAACACTTGCCTGCATCTACCTGATAAGAATATAAGATTTCTTTCAGTTCCATCAAAAGTATCAACGAAATCCAAGTTAGACCTTGTAGATATTTTTTGTTTTATGCCCACCTTCACTCTAGCTTGCCTCCATAACCTATACTTCATGCTAAGAAAAAGCACGCATTCTTTACAACAACAACAACAACCCAGTTAAATCCCACAAGAGTAGGGTCTGGGGAGGGTGTGTGTACGCAGACCTTGCCCCTACTCGAAAGTAGAGAGGCTGTTTCCAAAGAGACCCCCGGCTCAACGTCGAAAGTTGCATTGCTTGACTAACTGCTACTTCATTAATTAAAGAAGCGCAGACAGTTTAGAGATCCATTTTGATTTATTCCATCACACCCCAAAGCCAAAAAATGGTGAAATTTTGGCTCCATCGGAGATGATGGAAATAAAAATATATGTATATTTTTAATTACAATATATATGTATATATCATCTCAATAANTACAAAACACTTGCCTGCATCTACCTGATAAGAATACAAGATTTCTTTCAATTCCATCAAAAGTATCAATGAAATCCAAGTTAGACCTTGTAGATATTTTTTGTTTTATGCCCACCTTCACTCTAGCTTGCCTCCATAACCTATACTTCATGCTAAGAAAAAGCACGCATTCTTTACAACAACAACAACAACCCAGTTAAATCCCACAAGAGTAGGGTCTGGGGAGGGTGTGTGTACGCAGACCTTGCCCCTACTCGAAAGTAGAGAGGCTGTTTCCAAAGAGACCCCCGGCTCAACGTCGAAAGTTGCATTGCTTGACTAACTGCTACTTCATTAATTAAAGAAGCGCAGACAGTTTAGAGATCCATTTTGATTTATTCCATCACACCCCAAAGCCAAAAAATGGTGAAATTTTGGCTCCATCGGAGATGATGGAAATAAAAATATATGTATATTTTTAATTACAATATATATGTATATATCATCTCAATACACTAAAGAAAGTTATCTTTAATTACAATAACTAGGCATGGTTATACATCATAAAAAATAATACAGTATTTTAAAAAAATGAACTAGAAAAAAATGGAAGATTTTTAGCAGTGATGTATGTGGTTACATCCAAAACCTGCCAATCAATTAAAAGATCTTACTAATTGCTTGTATGGTTAAATCAAGTTTGATTCCAGTCTTCAGTCAAAATCATGTGAAAGAAATTATCATATTTGATATTCTTAATATGCCATGTATTAGACCGCCTACATCTCCATGAGTACCATTTTTCAGATTAAGAACTTACCAAATCCCTATTCTCAATGTACAAGTGCCACATTTAACAGAATCATAATTGCCATTAAAGCTGCTACAACCAAAATACATTAACACAGATACAATGCCACAGCATACAGACATACCGCAAGTATCTACAGGTCACTAATAAGAAAGCTAAACAGAACACCATACTGTGCATTGGCTCCCCAAGAGTAAGAACAATACATCTACTGAACTCCATAACAGCACAGATTTATCTCTAAGGGAACTAATATATCTGGAAAGAGAAACAGATCATGTACAAATCAAGCCACCTAGAAACCCAAGAACAAAAGTGCCCGGAAATGATTACATTGGGATGAAACTCCTATTCTTGCTCCTCTCAACTTCCTCAGCTATTTTCCCCACTCTTTCTTTCAATTCCTTCACCCTTGGATGCTCCCCTTTTTTCTGCTCTTGCTTTCAGTTGGTCTTCCTTAGATGGTTTGGTTTCTATCACAATTCTTGCCTTTTCCTTCAATCCCTCGGTATCTTTTCCCTTTGAAAAGGACTTTTATTTGCCAGTCCCACCATTGGCATTACCATTTGATTTGGACATTGCTTTTGTTGTTATGGTGTCTTGCTGCAATCCGGCGGCTGTCTTCAGAGAGGCATCAGGTTTAGATGACTTTGACATCAAGGAACTGCAAAACATTCCTTTCAATATACCAGGCCCTTCATCATCAAAATGGCATGACGGGCAGTTATCAGTCATATCCTTATACTTATCTGTGCTAGCAGATTTGGAGGGGTCCTCCTTGGATTTGGGATCAACGTCAGTGTCGTCTTTGAATTTACCATTACGCTTTGGACTTGCTCCTAATGACTGGAACCCATTACTCTGAGATGAAATATCCATTTTGCCGTGCTCAGATGATGTTTCCGCAAGTTCTCCACTCTTCTTCTTTTGCTTCTGCTTCTCACTAATAATCCGCCATTCTTCTTCGTTTAGTCTCAGAAATTCTGTTTCTCCATCTATGTATAGAACTTCGTGTGTCTTATTTAAATGATTAAAATCTTCTATTACAACATCGTAATATTTATCATCTAATGGCCAATAAACTTGGATCTTGGAACCAACAAGGCTTTCATCATATTTTATCTTTTGTTTCTTCAATACTTCTTCCTCGCCCAAATAGTGCTTTCTCTTTGTGCTCTTCCTTTTGTTTTCTTCTATACCATCATCTTCAGCAGCCTTCATACGACACTCTTCACAAAGCAGGAGCCTATTGTTGTCATCTTTAGTGGAGGAATTTGACAAATCCATCTCTGTACTTCTTTGAGATGAAATATCCCACGCGTCATGCTTAGATGATGTTTCAGCAAGTCCTCCACTCTCTTTCTTCCTATGCCTCTGCATTTCACTGACAATGTGCCATTTTTCATCCTTTTAAGTCCCGAACTTCTACCTCTCCATCATTGTATAAAACTGCGTGCATCTTCGTTACAGGATCAAAATATTTTATTACACCATCGTAATATACACCATCTAATGGCCGATAAACTTGGATCTTGGAACCAACAAGGCTTTCATCATATGCTATCTTTTGATTCTTCAGCACTTTTTCCCTGCTCAAAGAGTGTTTTCTCTTCGTGCTCTTCCTTTTGTTTCCTTTACCATCATCTTTAGCATCATTCATACTATGCTTCTCTGAAAGCCGGAGCCTGTGTTTGACATCTTTTGTGGAGGTCTTTGACAAATAAATCTTGGTACTAGCCTCTCCATGTTGACCCCTTTTTGGTTCACCATTTATCTTCAGGGAAACACCCTCTCTCTTGTCAGCTTTAATCTGCTTTGACCCTGCATCACAAACAATGTGGCTATAAAGCTGGTCCAAAGCCTTTCTTTCTGTCAAATTTTCCCTAACAATGTTCCATACTTCCTCCTTAAGATCCAACACTTGTTCTCCGTGAGTGTACCAAACTGTGTGTTTCTTTTTGACACGATCAAAAGATATTATTACACCATTGTAATATATATCATCCCCTGGCATATAAACTTGGACATTGGAACCAACAAGGCTTTCATAAAATGTTATTATCGGATTCTCTGGTACTTTTTCCTTGCCTCAAGTATGCTTTGTCTTCGTGCTCTTACTTTGGTTTCCTTCATTGCAAACATCTCCAGCAGACTTCATACTATGGATTTCTGAAAACAGGAGCCGATTGTTGTCATCTTTTGCAGAGGACTGTGAGCCATCAATCTCAGTACTAGCCCTTCCATGTTGACTTTGAGTCTTCCCGACTTGCTGCTTCAGACCTTCCACCACTGCATCACGTATGGATCCCGCTTCTTCCTCAATAGAAGATTCTCTCTGCTCCCTTGTTCTAGGGTTCTGTGGAAGTGATTCTGAATCACTTGTTTTTCTTGAAGAAACACCATTTCTCTCATTAGCTTTAGTCTTCTCACCTTGTTCCTTCAGGCCTTTCACCTTTGCATCCCTCATGGACCAAGACTCTTCCTCAAGAAAAGTATCTGCCCGCACATTTGTGCCAGGGTCCCGTGATATCAAATCATATGTCTCTTCACATGGCATATTAGATGCAATTGCAGCAGACAAGGGCTCTTTTCTGTTCTGAACCAAGCTATCATCCTCCTTTGGCTGAATAGTCATCTGAACCAGGCTATCACGCACAGTATGACTAGGGTCTGGCAGAGAAACAGTAACAGCTTCATTCTCTGGATTTTTGTGCAAAAAAAGCAGACCACCACTTCCATTTTCCTCAAATTGTTTGGCTGCCTCAACTGGTGTGTCATCAGTAGGAAAATTAGTAATACCTCCATCCTTTGCTTTTTGTTCTTCAGTTGAATATTCAGCAAGCAAGCAATGTCCATCTCTCTTACTTACTTGACTACCTGGATTATTATCCGGAGGATCCTGGTCCAAAGAACATTTCAGTTTCAGTTGTAAGCTAGACTTCCTCCCTTTCTCCTTAGAGCATATCCACTGCAATGCATTTGAGGGAAGCAAATGCTTATGTGGCAGCAAAGAGAAAGGGGAACCATTAGAGAGACTAGGGGCAAATGAAAGGGGTTGATGGAAGGGAATCAAATTCTCCCAGAGAGAGAGAGAGAGAGAGAAGTTGATTGGGCCACAATGCCACAGAGAATTGAAATTTTTTTCTTTTCCTCCAACGGTTGGACAAACATTTTTTTTGTTTTTCTACACGGTCAAATGACTGAAATGGTTAGCTTTTACGAAGTAAAAAAATCCTGCACCAACAGTCAACTGAGTCATATGGATTTTTTTTGCACCAACTGTCAATTAGGTAACTTTTTTTTGTTGCACCAACGGTCAATGAGATCGTCTTTTTTTTCTTTTTTCCCATATATACCAACTTCATATTCAACCTAAAAAATAACAAATCTCTTACAGAGTATTTGTTTTTTGCACTAAACACTTAAACAGTCAAATGTTTTTTTTGTAATGAAAATCACAAAAGTTTTATGTAAGAAAAGATAAAGAGCAAAAGTAAAGGGAGAATTAAGGTGAGGTGAGGAAAGTTGATGGGGAAAGTGATGTGTAATCAAAACTAGTAATGTGGGAGGGGAAAATGATTTTCCCATTAGGGATTACGGGTTTCTTCGGATGTTTGAAACTTAGATTTCACACTGCTTTCAATCTGCGAATCATCAGGGGTACGTTTAGCTGTCAGATTTGCAAAATCAGGCTGTCGAGGAAGAACATCTTCTTAATAACATACCTCTTGGTTGGCGTCCTCACTCCTCTGGCGCAACACATCCGAAGAGACTGTAGGCGCTTTGTTGCCGAGAGCCCGAACCATCTTTCCAAAACTAGAACTAGCAAACTGTCTCTCAGCACACAAACGGCCATTCGATGTATCACTATTATGCTCAAAAAAAATAGGAGACACTTGCAGAACAGAAGTCACAAATCTACTGTAGTCATCCAGTGATAGGCTCAAAGATTTTATAGCACATGTGACATAAGGCTTAAGCCTGAAAGCACAATTCCTTAAAGCACACCCTGCCAACCTCTTACCAATTTCCTTTATCTCCTCATTCTCCTTCCTAACACTGGCTAACAGGCTTGTAATCAGAACTACAGAAACATCATCACTTTCTTCGAGAACAGCTGTCATGATGGATTCCATGGATGAAAAGATGTAGTATGGATGATGTCCTCTAACAGACTTAATGAAGTACTGAAACATCCTAGAGATAAGTTCATCACACTTGAGATCCAACATAACAACCCATAACGGGACCTCGCACACAGTCTTAAGAATCATGGCTCGATTTTTAAACGATCTGCTAGTCTCATCATGTAAATTCTCAAAAGAAGAGACAATTAATTCAAAGACAGACCTCATCTTTTCATCGCCGTATGGGACACTTGGTGCAGTAATTCTGGTAATCTCACTTAAGCAAGACGCGAGGGCAACCTTCGCATCAAGGTTGGAGTTTCTCAAGAGCGCATCTTCAACCAACGCCTTGATCAATGGAGAGAGTGAAGCAAGCACAGATTTAGCAGGTGATTGCTGCACTTTCTTGAGGAAGGAGACGGCTTCATCCAGTAAAGGGAGCAGTTCCTCGATCGACGAAGGGGGCTTAAGAAGCTTGTTTCCAGCTTCCATCAATTGCTCTTCTAGCGTTGGCGACGACTCCATCTTATCAAGATATCGCACGCAATTCTGTCAAATGGGAAACTCCAGCTCAAACATCGAACGAAACCTTAGGACGGGATTCTAGGAAAAGCTTTGTGATACAGAGATGGAGCATCCCCACAAATTGTTGTTAGACTATTTGGTATTGGGGGCGACCCAGAGGAGGTGACCTATCATCGGGCCAGTTGGGCCTCCTCCACCTTGCCACAACGGGCGGGACCCTTTCGGGATGACATGTGCTAGGCACCGGTTGAACAATTTTTTTTATCGATTTTAAAAATAATTAATAAAATATTTTCTTCTGGCATAAAGAAAATATACTTCTCGCATGATTTTTAATATCATAAAAAAAAAACCAAAGTAGAATAAATAATATTTGAGGAATTGAATGTGTACAGAACAAAAAAAAATACTACATTTTCTGAAAGACTTCAGGGTATACAACATTTTTAGGATGGTTGCAATAGTTTTCATTGTCATCTAGGATCAATATTTTTAATCATGTCTTTGTCTTCACTCGCAGAACAACAACATAAAGTTAATCATCACTGAACACTGACTTGATTAAAAATAATCTAAATGACAATATTTGACCTTGACTTTTGTTGATAGTCATAGCAAAACATAATGTCATTGGAAATTGTCTTCTCTAGAATAGTTCTGTATCAGATGATTTTTTTGAACCGGAGTAGAGATTTTATTCATCTTCCAATATACAAAGACAGATACAAAAGTAATCCTTTCCAAGCCTACTACATCATAATAACACTTCAGTAAATGGTAATACAGTGCACCCAAGTATCCATCTTAGTCTACGTCTATCTGTCTTGACCGCAGGAATATGCTAACATGACCCTTTGTTAGCATATATAGGAAATATTTGTTTATTTATTTATTTCCTTGTATATATTGTTAGCATATATAGAAAATATTTGCTTATTTATTTATTTCCTTGTATATATTTATTTCCTTGTAAGTAATCCTTACCATAGTTGTATTAGGAAACTGGCGTGTATATATACGTTGTGAATATTCAATGGAAAGCAATCGAGTCTTTCACAAAATTCTACATGGTATCGGAGCTAATTTCCTGGGAATTTCTCAAACCCTAGGCTCGTTCCTTCCTCTTGCACGGTGCCGCCACTGTAGCTTTGCCGGCCGCCTCACGACGGTCGCCCCTTTTCTTCGATCGGCTCACGTCGGTCGCCATTCCTCCAGCGCCGGCTCTCGTCGGCTGCCACGTCAACCCCGGCTCACGTCGGTCGTATATCACCGCCCCACGTCGGTGACCTTTTCGTCCCCATGACAACCGAAGGCACAAAGAAGGTCAGGCTCATCCACGACCCTACCTCTCCGTACTACATTCACCCGTCCGAAAGCGCGGGTAATTCTTGACGAAACATCTCCTCAAAGGTGATAATTATGATATTTGGGAGAAAACCATTGTTAATGCTCTCGAAGGGCGTAGTAGAGCAGGTTTTCTCAACCCCTCCGGGTTTCCTAAACCCACTGATGAACAGGAATTGGCGGCATGGAAAGCTAATAATTTCATTATTTGTTCTTGGATCTGTAACAGTGTGGATGAACACATCCAACCATCCATTATCTCCCATAAAATTGCTCATGAATTATGGTTAGATCTGAAGACCAGATATGGGGATCGAATGGACCTCGTATTCATCAATTGAAGTTTGAGTTTCAATCTTTGCGTCAAAAAGGACAAACTGTGGTCGTTTATTACAATCAATTTGTGGCTTTATGGAACAAGCTATATGGATTTGTTGATCCAACTTGTGGTTGCCGGTGTGAGGTTGCAGCTCTAATTCGGGCGCGTGAGGAACAGGAGAAAACCCATCACTTTTTGCTTGGTCTTGACGACGAACAATTCGGTCACATCCGATCTCAGATTATTGCCACCGAACCTGTTCCGGACATACACCGAGCTTATGCTCTTATCGTTCAAGAGGAACACCACAAGAGCATTGTCCGTGGCCGAGATGACCGTACGGACGCTCTCGCCTTTTCCATGCAACGTCCCGCTCCTACCATGGGTCGTGGAGACCCCCCTCATTATTCATGTACACATTGTGGAAAAGATGGACATTCCGTGGATCGGTGTTATCAATTGCATGGATACCCGCCCGGGAAGGGGCGTGGGGCTTGCCGCGACACTACATCCGGCCGAGGGGGTCGCGGCAGTAGCCGAGCACCGTCCGGCGGCAGTGGGACCCCTGGCCGTGGGGCTGGCCGAGGGGTAGGATCGGCGACAGGGGGAGCAAATGCAGCTATCAACTCCAACGCCTTGGGCCTCACACCCGATCAAATGACCCGGTTACTTTCCATGCTCGACGTTTCGTCTTCCGACAAGGATACCAGGGCTAGTGGTGATGCAACATCTCGTGAGTGGCTTATTGACAGTGGCGCCTCTCATCACATGACTGGTAATATTTCCTTTTTATCCGATGTGGTTCCCATGGTCCCCTGCGTCATCACGTTGCCCAATGGCACACAGACTACAGCCACTCGTTGCGGCCATGTGCGGCTCTCGCCCGAAGTGGTGCTTCGGGGTGTTTTGCTTGTTCCTCATCTCCAGTGCAATCTTATTTCTATTGGTTGTCTTATTCGAGATACCTCTTGTCTTGTTATTTTTAACAAAAACTGTTGTGCCATACAGGACTGTGTCACGAAGATGGAGATTGGACGGGGTGATGTATACAATGGAGTTTTCCTGTTTCGTCCATGTTCTACAGCACTTGCTACCCAAGTGGATCCTTCTCTCCTCCATAAACGCTTGGGACATCCCTTTGTTCAAGTTTTGTCGTCTCTTATTCCTTCTGCCAGTAGCTCTAAACTTAAATTGTTACAATCTTGTGAAATTTGTTTTCAATCCAAACACGTTCGTAGTTCTTTTCCTGTTAGTTCCAATAAAGCTACTAATGTTTTTGACCTAATTCATTGTGATTTATGGGGCCCCTACACCCCTTGTTTAGCTACTGGTGCACATTATTTTCTCACTATTGTGGATGACCCCTCTCGTGCAGTTTGGGCCTATTTGATCATTGATAAATCTGAAGTCCCTAGTTGTTTGAAACAATTTTTTTTCCATGATACAGACCCAATTTCACAAAACCATAAAAATTGTTCGTTCTGATAATGGGACTGAATTTGTCAATCAGGACCTTAGGTCATATTATGCCACTTTGGGTGTTCTTGTTCAAACTTCTTGTGTGGGTACTCCTCAACAAAATGGTCGGGTAGAACGAAAGCATATACACATATTAAATGTCGCCCGCTCTCTTATGTTTCAAGCTCACTTACCTATTGAATTCTGGAGGGAATGTGTTCGTACTGCTGTTTATTTAATTAATCGTACTCCCAACAAACTACTTGGTGGCAAGTCTCCGTTTGAAGTTCTGAATCACAAAGCACCCGATCTTAGTCATCTCCGAATTTTTGGATGTCTATGCTTTGTACAACTCAGGACTTCCAATATATTTTCTCCTAGAAGCACCAAGTGTATGTTTGTTAGGTACCCCTCTGGCACAAAAGGTTGGCGTGTGTATGACCTTGATACTCATCGTTTTTTTCACACTCGGGACATCGCTTTTGACGAGAGCACGTTCCCGTTTTCCACCCATCATACGCCGACCGAACCCTCTACCTCCACCCCACACGCAGATTTTCCCGAATCACCCCAGCCGGACCCCCTCCCGGCTGCCGTACCTGACGGCCAACCTGACCAGCCGGCAGCTGCCACCGAGCAGCTCACCGACGACCAGCCCCACTCCCATACAGCTGCCGCTCCTCCGCTTCGTTCTCAACGGCAACGTCGTCAGCCATCCCATCTTAGTGACTTCATCGTCAATTCTATTCAATCTCCCGCTCCATTGTGCTCATCGCCTTCCCAGTCATCGTCTTCAGGTACACATTATCCTATTGCCAACTTTGTTTGTTATCATAAATTGCATGACAGGTATCGAGGATTCCTTGGCGCCATCAATCCTCATTTTGTTCCTAAAAATTACTCTGAGGCAGTCCCACATGCCAATTGGCGTGCGGCAATGGACACAGAGCTTCGGGCATTGGTCAATAATAACACTTGGGAAATCTCAGACTTGCCTCCGGATCGCATAGCTTTGGCTTGTCAATGGGTCTTTAGGACCAAGTTTAATTCAGATGGCACCAAAGAACGCGACAAGGCTCGACTAGTGGTTCTTGGAAACCATCAGACTTTGGAAGTGGATTACACTGACACCTTTGCCCCGGTAGCAAAAATGGGTTCTGTTCGAGTTTTGCTCTCTGTGGCCGCGGCAAAGGGGTGGCAGGTACACCAACTTGATGTTAACAATGCTTTTCTTCATGGTGATTTGATTGAGGAAGTCTACATGCGGTTGCCACCTGGTCTTTCACACTTGTACCCAGGCAAGGTTTGTCGACTGCGCAAATCTCTTTATGGTTTGCGCCAATTCCCCCGTAATTGGTTCGGGAAACTTACTTGTGCCCTCCGGCGGTACGGGTTTCGCCAGGCTCATGCTGATCACACTCTCTTTATTCACCGTCGTGGGGCTGATATTCTGGTTGTCTTGGTCTACGTTGATGACATTTTGGTTGCAGGTAACAACCCCACTCTATGTGGTTCTTTTAAGGTATATCTTGATCGTTGTTTTCATCTGAAGGACTTGGGACCCCTATCATATTTTTTGGGCATTGAGTGTGCTCGATCTGAGGCGGGGATTGTTCTGTGTCAGCGGGAATATGCACTAGATATTCTTCATGAAGCCGGTCTCTTGGGTTGCAGACCGGCCGAATTAAAATAGCCGGTCTCCATGTACTTTTTCTTTTCTTTCAATGGAAGTGTTCATTTTTTCATGTCCGTATAATTGTTTGGAACAAGGGTTATTTGATTGTTGTATAAATTTTGCCTGAAAGTATGAATGTAAAGTTAGAGAGCGTATACATTTTCATTGTAAAAAAGATTACCGTTTCTCCAAACTTTTAAAATAGTTTTAGGCTTAAAAGCTAGACTACTATTTAAAACGAGTATTCTTAACTTTTAAAATAGTTCTAGGCTTGATATGCAAAATTCTCTTAAAAACAGTTTTCTTTACTTATTATAGATAACTGTGAAAAAAATAGTGTAACACACACTACTTGTAATACAATACTAATTCTTATAAGTTTAAAAACAATTATACACTGGGAAACCAGACTTCTGTTAAGAAATAGTAGTCTTAACTAATTATTGACAACTGTGGCAATAAAAACTATATTTTTTTATGAAACCGACTACTAATAATAGATGACCGTTTCTCACAGCTTCAAAAACAGTTCTACCCATAATTCATAGACTATTGTTCTAAACGAGTCTTCTATTCCTATTATAAACAATGTGACCTGGCCCAGTATCTGCGACTTGTTGGTCGCTTGATTTACCTCACTATCACTCGTCCAGATCTCACTTATTCAGTTCATGTTCTGTCTCAGTTTATGCATGCGCCACGCCTTGATCATATGGAAGCTGCCAAACGAGTCCTTCGTTACTTGAAGGGTCATCCTGGTCAGGGTATTCTTCTGCGTAGTGACAGTTCATTACAGTTATCAGCTTATAGTTATTCCGACTGGGCATCGTGTCCCCTCACTCGTCGTTCTGTTAGCGGCTATTTTATTCTTCTTGGTGGTTCCCCAGTTTCTTGGAAGACGAAGAAGCAAACCACCGTGTCCCGATCTTTAGCAGAGGCCGAATACCGTGCTATGGCTAATGCATGTGCAGAAGTAAGGTGGATTCGGGGGCTTCTTGGGGAACTCGGCGTTACTCCACCGACGACACCTCGTTTGTTTTGCGACAATAAGTCCGCTCTGTTTATTGCTGCCAATCTTGTCTTCCATGAGCGCATGAAGCATATTGATATAGATTGTCATATTGTCCGAGAATGTGTTCTGCGCGGAGAGATCGCCACAACATATGTTCCTACTCGTTTATAGATTGCCGATTTGTTTACTAAAGCCTTGAACAAGCCTCTCTTTGCGTTTTTACTATCCAAATTGGGCATTTGTGATCTCCATGCTCCAACTTGAAGGGGAGTGTTAGCATATATAGGAAATATTTGTTTATTTATTTATTCCCTTCTATATATTGTTAGCATATATAGGAAATATTTGTTTATTTATTTATTTCCTTGTATATATTTATTTCTTTGTAAGTAATCCTTACCATAGTTGTATTAGGAAACTGGCGTGTATATATACGTTGTAAATATTCAATGGAAAGCAATCGAGTCTTTCACAAAATTCTACACCCTTTATCTAGTGAAATGCCTCCTCTGTAGATATAACAATATTCTTGTGCAGCTTCTGATTCCTACTTCTCCATATGCAGTATGAGCATGCCGCAAAAATGGCTGTGATCTTTTTTCTTCTCATCATGGGAGTGATATTTTGAATCTTTGTAATCATCCCCTCTAAGTTGTCATCCTCAAACTTGTAGGAGCACCAGCTGTAGACCTTCATGTATATTTCCTTAGCATAAGGACAGGTGCAGAATAGATGGTGGTTGTCCTCAACACCATTTTGGCAGAGAAGATGAGCCAAAGAATAATTTTGTGCTTTGGAATGGTAAGTTTGTTCCAGACCATTTCAGCCCAATTGACAAGATGTTGCTGCCCCAGTAACCATTGATATCCCACATCTGGAGTATACATTATTTCCTTGCCCATCTGAGCAAAGTTGTCTCTGGTTTGTATCAGTTTCTTCCAGTAGAAGCAGTCATCCTTTTTACCCTCATAATCCCAAAGAGTATTATCCTTAATATATTTAGTATGGATATATTTGATCCATAATATGTCCTTCTTCAGTGCAATATCCTAAACCAACTTCATAACACATGCCTTGTTCTAGTAGATTAGGTTCCTGAACCCAAGACCCCCATATTTCTTTGGCATACAGACATCTTCCCAGGCTACCAAGGGAGTTCTTTTATGTTCTTGAGATGATCCCCAAATAAAGTCCTGTATCAGATGATACCAAATTCATCTGGGGTATGTAAACATTTCCCCCACTCGATTTCTCGAAACCAAAATAACATTGATAACGTTTTTTTGCAGTTCGTAAACAGTTAATCTTGTATGACTACACAGTCCATATGTTTGGTCAATTTTTCTTAATAACATAATTGGTACTCTTTTTTTAAACTACTTGTGGTTTAAAATCTCCAATCATTTGATTTCATTCAAAAACTCAACTATTATCCAATCACTATTAACACCTACATTTGAATATGCCTCACATGAAGAATCTGAACTCAAGTACACCATTTCATCTTTGGAAATGAGTGATAGGAAAAATTTGTTTACCATTTCCACAACTTCTTGGGTGGGTGCTAGTAGTGCCTTATCCTCGAAAAAAGAATAACTTTTCTTATTCTCCAATAGGTTTAGATAAGTAAAGTTTTCACTATACTCTTTAGGGGAGAACTCATGTCTACAATCAAGAATTCAGACAAAATTTCAATGTCAATTGTTTCATCAATCACTTGTCCAAGCATTCCATCTCTGATTTTAATTATCCAATAGAAAGCTTGTGTGTCTCTATCTACGCAAGATGATGTAGTTCAATGCAATCTCATATTTTTCGTCAACATATAAACTTTACCATACAACCATAATTTTGAAGAATTGATGGTAGCACCTACAATTTTCTCTCTCGGAGCTTTAGGTAAAACAAAAAGAATTTGTTGAAAATCATCTCTGAGTACACCCACTTTCCATCTGAATGGTTCATTTATGGAGTTTTTATTAGAGAACCTCATTACATTTCTCATTATATAATCTAATGCATCAAAAGTAAATCTATTCACCATACATGCTCCATCCCAGGCCATACGATTAGACTTGCTTGTTATAATAGTTTTACTTTTGGGCTTCATTGTTTGATGGCACATTTTGAGCACTCAGATAGCGCCTGAGGAATTGAGAATCTCGAGTGTGCTCTCCTTCTACTGGTTTGATATTTAACATGAATCAATAGATTTTTGATACCGTAAACTCCTCCTCCACAATTTGTGCCTTGTAACGCGAATTGTATGGTTTCTTAAGCTAACAATGAATCCTCGTACCCTGTATTATATCAGATTCAATTCTTTCACTATTAATTAATTCATGCATTGTTTTTTTATTCATGAAGAAAAGAATAATTTTTTTATGACATTGGAATTTTAATTTTTTGACGTAGGAAAATAATAACCAATTGTCTTGTATACTATACCATCATGTATAAAATACGAACAATTTCTTAATGAAGAACTAATGGAATCGAAGAAACATACTTGATCGTCATGGAAATTAATCTCCCTTGATTCGTTAATTCTGCCAAAAGAACTTATTTGGTACACACGAACGGCTCTCATCACATGAATGGCTACTGAGGTTCGATGTCTATCAATATCACCAAGCTTGGTCCACAAATTCCTTGAAACTGCATTGGATGACTTTTTTTTTATTTTGAAGAGAAATAGTGATGGGTATATCCTTATACCCGACCCGGATAACCGAAAGGGACAGGTCAAAATATGACCGGTCACTTTTATCAATCACCAAATAAAGTTAACTCTTCGATTGGGACGGGTCAAAAGTTGACCGGTCACTTCCACTAAAAAAGTGACCGGTCACATTTTGGGCAATAGCCAAAATATCACTTAATGTTGTGAAGAATTCAAGAAGACCAAAGAGACGGGTTGAGCTCAAGAAATGACCGGTCAACCTTTGAGAAAAAGGTGACCGGTCATATCATCTTACTTGACAAACATTGGTCCAGTATCTCAGGCATGGTGAACCACGTCAAAGATCAAGGGACCACCCTGCCGTTCGTCCATCACGAGATAAACAGTGAAAGGGATGTTTGTCACATTGCAGGGCTGATTGGATTGAGAATATCCATCTATAGTCTTTGATTGAACAGTACATGTCTTGGCTTATAGTTGCTAAATTCTATGATTGTACAGTGCTTCCATTATCTACAGTGACCTTCCCACGAGCTTCCTATTTTGTGCATGGATGAACAGGGGAGGGTCACAAATCCTCCTCTATAAATATGATGATATTTGATAGAGGGGGGATCCAATTTTTCTCTCACTAAAGTTCACTCTTGAGATAGAGTAAGAAATATAATTCGGACTGAGGAGATTTACCCGGTCTAGGTCATACTTTGTGTTCTTGTCGTGTGTTTTATATTACGGGTTGAGTGTATCCAGGTCAAACCCGGTTAACCCACCCAGCTATATTTACACCATCATTTTTGGCGCCATCCGTGGGACCGATTTTTAAAGTTTTTTTCGACCAGGTCAAAACATTACCCCCACTAAATATCCACAATCATGTCTTCGAGCAACTACAACGCTGTGTCAAGTCAGGCTGCGAGTGAAAGCACTCCTGCCATCCCATTGATGATGTCGAGCATGGGGACGACCTTTGCTCCGATCACCACTGTAGGATCGATTGGCATGATCCCAATCATGTCAACCCCTACTCCTACGCCGACGACAACAATGTTCCCAGGCTCGATAACAACGCCTGGTGGAGNACCAGGTCAAAACTTTACCCCCACTAAATATCCACAATCATGTCTTCGAGCAACTACAACGCTGTGTCAAGTCAGGCTGCGAGTGAAAGCACTCCTGCCATCCCATTGATGATGTCGAGCATGGGGACGACCTTTGCTCCGATCACCACTGTAGGATCGATTGGCATGATCCCAATCATGTCAACCCCTACTCCTACGCCGACGACAACAATGTTCCCAGGCTCGATAACAACGCCTGGTGGAGAATTCACACCATACCCGTCAGCTTGGGCTCAGTTTGCTGCTGACCCGGCAAATGCTCAGGCTCTACAGGGCTATCAACAGGTGATGGCCATGATGCAACAGGCAGGGGGCTTCATGCCATTTGCCTATCCCGGCATGACGCCACCAATCATGCCACCTCCGGTGTCGACCCCGTCGACATTTGTCCCTAGGATGGTCCCTGTACATCCGGTGAATTTGACGAGGACTATGAATGAAGCAGCGCCCTCAAATGTCAAATGTCTTGTTAATATATAAATATTAACAAGACATATAAACAGAGAATTTGTAAGTTCAATTTTACTTTTTGGATCAAGACTGTTCATCATTCAACACAAACACACAAAAACAAAACAAAAATGAAAATTATTTTTTTTCTTTTTTTATTTAAAAATACACACAAAAAATCAAGTTTTATCTACACACTCCCCCACACTTAAAATTTACACTGTCCTCAGTGTAAAATAAATGAAGGAGAATTAAGTAAACAATTCCTAAAAAAAAAATTGGTAAATTGATTTTTTTTTTGTACATGGCGTGAATTGGAAAACGCCTTATTAAAATTCAATTACCTTATTAAAACAAAAAAAATGCAGAATTTGAAAACTTGGGTTGCCTCCCAAGAAGCGCTTATTTATGGTCATTAGCTTGACCAATGCAATCACTTATATTCAGACATTTCGAGGAAATAGAGTAGCATTCCCTCTTGGTGATCGTTGGCAAGATAACGCTTCAAACGTTGCCCATTTACAATGAATTTGGCGTTATCTTTGCCACAAAGTTGCACAGCTTCTGAGGGAAATGCTTCCACTACCTCGAATGGTCCGGACCACCGGGTCCTCAGCTTGCCAGGGAACAATTTAAAGCGAGAGTTATAAAGAAGTACCTGGTCTCCTGGTGCAAAATCTCGTTTAGAGATTACCTTGTCATGCAGTTGTTTGGTTCGCTCCTTGTAGATTTTGGAATTTTCATAAGCTGCGAGTCTGAACTCCTCGAGCTCATTCAACTGCAGCATTCTCTTTTCACCCGCCAATGAGAGATCCATGTTGAGATTTTTAACAACCCAATATGCTTTGTGTTCTAGCTCAACAGGAAGATGACATGTTTTCCCATACACAAGATGATATGGGGAGGTGCCAATGGGATTTTTGAATGCGGTGCGGTATGCCCATAAAGAATCATCTAGCTTCTCAGACCAATCCTTTCTTGAAGGATTAACAACCTTCTCAAGGATACTTTTGATTTCTCTGTTTGAAAGCTCGACTTGGCCATTTGTTTGCGGGTGGTACGGGGTCGAGAGTCGGTGATGAACCCCGTACTTTGCAAGAACTCGTCCCAATGCTTTATTACAAAAATGAGTTCCATTGTGAGTGATGATTGCCCTTGGAACTCCAAATCGAGAGAAAATGTTCCCTCGAATAAATTTGATCACCGCTTTTGAATCATTTGTGGACGTGGCAATTGCTTCAACCCATTTTGATACATAATCCACAGCCACGAGGATGAATTCCTTTCCATTTGACTTTCGAAATGGACCCATAAAATCAAGGCCCCATACATCAAATACTTCAACTTCAAGAATGCCTCTTTGAGGCATTTCATTTCTCTTCCTGATGTTTCCAGTACGTTGACAACGGTCGCAGCTTTTAACAAAGGTGTTGGCATCTTTGAAAAGAGTAGGCCAAAAGAAACCAGATTGTAACACCTTTGCTGTTGTGCGGGAGCTACCATGGTGTCCTCTGTAGGCAGAAGAATGGCAATGATGTAAGACATTTGTA